CCTTCTGGAGCAGCAGCCTGGAGATGAGCTTTGTCACCCTGCAGTCAGAACTGTTTGCTAAAGCAGTAGCAAATCCTTACATCCGTGTCTCATCCACAAAACCTCCTTTTATTCATTTAACCCGAAGCTTCATCAGAACTGATCCGAATTAAAGGCACAAGTCAAGTCTCCTCGCCAAGAATGTTATGATATGAGGTAGATTCTGATTTAATTATCCCAGATGAGTACAAGGTGTAGAAACACACAATGGTTCTGATGTTTATTAGCTACATCTATTTCTATGTAAATGGTCATCTAAGAACAGAAAAGGACTGAATTATCATAACCTTAAAATATAAAAAGGAGAGCAGACAAGAGTTGTAGGGCAATAAACTATCCAGTCATGGCAAGTGGTTGCCGACTCAGCAAAAATTATAGGGAACTGGGGTGGGGTGGGGATCTTCTTTTTAAATCGCTCTATATAATAGCTCCTTCCTAAATTTCTTACCTTTCGCAGGGAGAGCCAAGAAATATAAACCTGAGCTTAGAAATTATTTATATCACTATCAGACTTAGATTTCAAAGAGACCCAGTCATATATTTTGACTATGAATCTCCACATTGGTGGCTGATGTTTATTGTGTACAAACATTGCAAAAAGTAATCTAAAAATAAGAAAAGAATCTTAAAAGTATTGTATTTGCCCTTAATTTGAGTGATATATAAGATGACCTGCTGGTAGAAAGATAATCAAATATTGTGATTTTAAAATAAACAATTGTTTTTCTTTATTTTGTGTTAAGGCACTTATTCCATAGGAAAATTATCTCACTTATGTGCTCAAGGGAAAATATATTTATTTAAGTAAAACGGACTTACTTATTTTTATTTAATTTTTTGCATCAAATGGTTTCCTATAAAATATCCTAAATTTTCTTTTTTGGGATTAATGCAACAGTATTTTTGAATCTGAATTCAATTTGATGCCCTGTACACTTAATGCATATCTTGTTTTTGTGTTTCATGCTTTATGCTTTATTTTCAGTGCATCTGTCTGAAAACTTAAGCATTACAAGGCCACATCGCTAAAGCTGTAATATTACACTTGCTTAACATAAATATTCAGCATTTCCCTAGCCAAAGTGTGGGAAAAGAATAGGAAAACTCAAGATCATCCAGGTGTGTCTTACTACTGTCGTCATGGTTACTGAGGTAAGGAACACCTAGAATAATCAGTTCACTTCTAGAGAAAGAAAGGAAACAAAGGAGTTACCTTAAGTCCAGGAAGTAGTGGTATTGCGCCCATTTACCCTCAATGTTAATTCCCTTAATGATCCCTTCCACCTAGGTCGCCATTTTAGAGGCACATTACTCCTGTAGTAATGGTGACTTTTTGCATTCCAGCTAAAACTCCCAACAGAAAGTTTTAAGTACTTACTTCATAATATTTCAAAGGGGTCATAGAATAATTTAATAGGGTATTTGGTGCTGGTCCTTAAGGTCTCTGAATAGGGTGTGTAACATTGGTTGGGCAGAAAATATCATATTTGCTGTTCTATGAGCCCTAATGCATGCCAGGTTAAAAGCCTTAGAATGAAACGACAGGTTTTCTTCCTTTAATGAATATTTAGATGAGCTGTATGCTGATTGGTTGGTTTACAACGAGCGAAGCTGCTGAGCAAAGATGCATCATGGCAACAAGCACTCACTCGGTGAAACATCAAATTGTTGATATGGTAGGATGACCAGTCATCCTCTTTTTCCCGGACATGTCCTACTTTTCATACCTAAAGAATGTCCGGGGGGGATTTCAAAATCGTCTGGGAGTTTGGTCCAAAAAAAAAGCCGCCAGCTGTGGTTCTGCTCCGGGAACTTCTGTGGACTGGGGGGAGGGGGCCAGCGGGGGACAGAGTGACCAAACCCGACCCGGTGTCGGTAGCCGCAGTTCTGGCCGTCTCCCAGGGGAAGGCATACCGTCACCGGGTCGGGTTCGGTGGCTCCATCCCCGGCCGCCGGGGTTCCCGGATCAGCCCCAGAGCTCACGGCTCGGTTGAAATGCCCGGTCCGGTCTAGTCAGCGGCCCAGCAGCCTGGAACACTGTTATTTACGATACTGAACCAGTGGGCTGGTCTGTATTGCATGACAAAAGTAAAGACCACAACCAAATAAGGCAACATCCCCGAATTGATGTTAATTCGGTGCTTCGTCTGAATTAATCTGAATGGTGGAAGTTAGAATTGTGAGATTTGCAGAGAAAGGATGTGTTAATGGGGTTTGAACTTCTCTGTAAGTCCATTTCACCCACTGAACTATCATTATTGATCTATGACAATGGAAACTTGGTTTTGCATTCAATGACCCCTTTAAGTCAAGTTGATGTCTGTTGAATTTATCATTATGGTCTCACCTCAACCATCATGGACACCTTTCTCCTAAGGGAGTTGTTAAATTCCCCCTTGGTGGTAACCTGGCATGTTGATTTCCCGCCACCTGACAGTCCAAGATGGCAGAGCCATTCATCCTCTACTATCTTTCTTGTTTGATCCTACAGAGACTTCAAAGCCCGAAGGCCAGTTGACTGTGGCCGTCTATCTGCCTTGCCAAAACTGACAGCTACACAGGAAGTAAAAGACATCCAATACACAACATTTGAACAGATGGGAAGACGGCTGCACCGGACCTCTGGACAAAAAAACATGCCAGTTTAATGATAGTTGCTGCACTTTGACAATGAAGCCAACAGGCAGATGGCCAACCCATGTTATTGCCAATTAAGATTCAGACAAAACTCCACCATTTGCTGCATTTTTTACTTACACCAGCAAGCTGTCCGAGTTTTAGAATCGCAGCACTATTCATAGGCTGCAACAATTAAAACATCAACACGGATGGAGGAAAAATATGTACATTATTCATAACTGTCCTCCAGGGAGATTGGCACTCAGAGCTAATGAGAGGAGAAAGCTTTGAAGTCACGCAGTCCTCTGCGAGGTGAATGGCATGAATTAAGCCTCACCGTCAGACACGCTTTGCAATGTCTGAATACTTTCTAGACAGTCCATCCTTAGCAGTTTTCATGACTGCTCTCTACGGTGTCTAATGCTTTTCATTTGGATATTTAAATACAATTCAACCTTTTGGTACTGCTTGGTATTGAAGCCCAAAGAACTTGTGGAAAGCAGATGTAGAGTGAAACATGGGGATACATACACAAGGATAAAACTGTTGTTTCATGAAAGAAGAACTCACAATTATCACAGAAATAACCTGTATTTGGCTAAAGGACAAAATAAATAGTATATGAAAATAAACAAAAGAACAACAGACATTGCTTTTCGATCATGCAAGTAAATTATTTTTGTAAATGAACTCATGAAACAGGCCTGCACAAAAATCATGGTACCCAGAGAAAAGACTGAACACAGATATATATATATATATATATATATATATATATATATATATATATATATATATATATATATATATATTTATTTTCTGGCCTCTGCACACTAAGCAGACAGACACAGCAAACCGCCATGCCTCAGCTACCATTGATGTGCCATCCTGAATGAGTTGCCACCTACCTGAGCCACTTATGGGGGGGTTGCAGAGTCCATCTAATGCTGCCACGAGTTTGAAAGCACCATCAACATTCAGAAGGGACCGAAACATTAGCCAAAAAGCATAGTGGGGCGACAGTGGCGTTGGATGTTGGAGTTTGCCCTGAAATCGGAGGGTTGACGATTCAAGCCCCGACTCCGACTTTCATTGTCGTTGTATCCTTGGGCAAGACACTTCACCTGCATTGTCTACTGACGGTGGTCAGAGGGCCTGGTGGCGCCAGTGTACGGCAGCCCCGCTTCTGTCAGTGAGCCCCAGGGCAGCTGTGGCTAAAATGTAGCTTGCCACCATCAGTGTGTGAATGGGTGAATGAATGTAGTGTAAAGCGCTTTGGCCAAGTCTCCTGACTTGAAAAAAGGCACAATATAAGTACATGCCATTTAACATTTTATAGGTACTGAGAAGTGGTCTGTTGTCCTCACCTGCATAACCACTCCTTCAGTGAGTGTGTCTTGCTAATTGCCATTAGCTTCCATCTGCTGTCTATTCTATTTGCACAACAGCATGTGAAATTGATTGTCAATCAGTGTTGCTTCCTAAGTGGAAAGTTTGATTTCACAGAAGATTCATTTAATTGAAGTTACAATGTGTTGTATCCCTTTATCTTTTTGAATAGTGTAAAATATGCTCTTTTCTTCAAACCTGTGACAACTTTAGCAATTTGAAGATGTGAAGTGGGTCAAATACCTACTAAGAGGTGCAGAAATCTGACTTGACTGTTACTGTAATCGTTTGATTGGAGTTATTGCCTCAAACGGTTGTGCAACAAGATATGAGTTAATGGTATCATCATTTTCTCTTGGCCTGTTTCATGAGTTTATTCTTAAAAGTAATTATTTTAAATCATTCTTGTGACAATTGTGTCTAGTTATTCTTGTGACAATTGTGTTAATTTTTTCTTTGATTAAATGAGGGGTATCAATACTTTGGTCCATGGGTGTATGCAGAAAGACAGGATATAATTCATGTCAAAGGGAAGAGAATCAATGAAACAGGCTTTCTGCTGCCTTAAAGCAAAGAAATGTGAGAAGTGTGTTGGTAACCAGCAGCTTTGCTAAACAGAGGAAGCTCTGCCAGCGAGACCTGACCCGGTTCCTGTCGCTGCCGGTGTCTATCGTGCCCTGTGCCACGCTGATACGGTATCTGTCCAAACAGATGTCCACTAAAGCCTGTTAGCATCACTCTTTCCGCTCCCTTACTTTAGCTTTAGCTGCCTGCTGATGTTTTGTCCGTCAGGGTGCTCCGTCTCGCCCTTGTCTCCTTCAAGCAGGCATTTGGCAAAGATAACAAAGACTGACCCCCATGTAAAAAGGGACTGCCTTTGCTGATAAACCCCGACAAAGACGCTCGGCGGGGGGCAAAAGGTGGCGAAGGTGGCGAAAGAGTTTATAACCTACCTCCATAGTGAACTCTCCAGCACCTTGGTGGAGTCAGCATGGTAATACTTGGTCAGGATCAGGATGACCTGGAGGAAAACAGAAAGAAAAAAGATTTAGACAAAGTGGGCAACTAAAATTTAAGACACCAGAACTGATTCGGAAAGGTTAGCAACAATCCACAAGAAATAATACATTTACATTATACCTTAGAAAATATGTTTTTCTTTCAGGTAATCAGAAAACCTAATTATATTCCAACAACTTCAATGTATTTATCAATTAAAGGGGAAGTCTTGATATGCTCAACCAACCACGACTACAGAGAATAAGGCAGAGCTCATTCTTCATGTGCTTTAGAGCTTCTGTTCTTGACAGCTGAGGTCTGCTGGGATTTCTATTGCAATGGCAAGACTGCCAGCCGGTCAAGCAACACAGCGTGTGATTGACAGACTGCTGAGGAGTTCTAGGAGCACAGCAGACAAAGAACCCAGGTCTACCTTCAGGCAGAGGTGAGCTGATTGGCCAAAGGGGATTCTGCCCAGAGGCAGCTCCCAACCATAGAATATAGTCTCTGAAATGACCACGCTCCTGATATATCTTTATGCCAGCAGCAGAGTCAGAATGGAGACATGAGGAAAAAGAAGACAGCAGGAGGTAAACTTCTGCTTTAAATCCTTGTGAAGATGGATAGAAGCAGTGTGGTGTTTCATAGCTCACTATCAAAGTTATGGCTTCAGGGTGATATTTTTTGTCAGAAATGTTTTGATTTTTGCCTGGTAATTTGCATGAAGTACAGCTCAGAGCTGAAATGTTGCCTCAACTATAAGCTGCTTCTGAACAGCCTTTAGCACAGAGGTTGCTGTAAATATTTCAAAATAAAACAGATAAAGAGGCGGTTGAGCCTAACTGTTGAATTTTAAGTGATATATATTTAAGTAAAAAAAAAAAGTTGCAACATTTTCTAAATCTCCTCACGAAAGCATACAAATATTTCACCTAAAATGGCAGCAATCAGCAATTGTGAGACATTTTTCAAAAAAATCGGCAACGAAAAACAACAAAAAACATACCCTACCCTTAAAGATTACGAATAAGGAGCACCAAATTGTGTGAGCAAAATAATATTCCACCTGCAGTAAGTAGGCGTGTTGCCAGCAGTCTACAGTACAGAGATAAAAGCAAAAAGTTAAGGCATGTAAGCAATTCAGATCCACTCAATTTAAAAGGGCAAATTGCGTGCCAGACGGATAGGTTGAGAGAGGTCACAAAAGAAAGATGACATTCTAAGCCATAGAAAGTAAGGTTATAATTAGGGGTGGGTATTGGCAAAGAAGTCATTAATCGATTCAGATCACGATTCACGTGCCACGATGTGATTCTATCGTGATGCATCACGATACTTGAAATATTGCGATGCATTGCGATATTTTCACTGAACACTGTAAGAAAAAGATACAGCCCTTACCAGTGGCTGACTGGCAGGGTGTGATCTAGATAGTGTCTTCAATTGATACATAACTGAAAGCAACTGAATTCATACATAGCTGTATTTATTGAAACAACTTTTGGAGGTGTTGCCATGAAAACAAATACTGGACAGAAATATTACTATTACTGACGTGGACACAATGACAAAAAGATCTTAGGATTCATCAAACTTAAAATAACAAAATAAGGATAATCAGTGCCGTTTATATTGGCCTCAGTGGTCCATTTGCAAATTACGTGCATCATATCAATTTCATTTTTACCTTCTTTGTTTTTAAAGCCAGAATGCATCCAAGCATCTGACTTGAAATGTGATGGAGCCGCGGGGCGAATTTTCTCAGTGTACTCCATGTTTTGTTTACGAATGACTCGTCGCAGTATCCCGCAGCCGGACATGCTTGTGACACAAAGCAGCGGGCGTCAACACATCCACAGCGACATCTGCTGGACTGGAAGTTGTATTCCACTTGATTTGGCTGATGTGCGCCAACCATTCATGTATTTTATTTGTTCTTTTTTTTTTTTTTTATAATCGATTCTTGAAGGCAAGAATATATCACAAAAATTAGAATCGCGATGCATCGTCATGACGATTATTTTGCACACCTATAGTTATAATGGTAGTAATTGAAAAATAACAATGATAAGGATATTATTTATCGCCTACTTTACAAAAAGGTACCTGAATGGTTACAAACAAAAGTAAATAATTAAAACTGATGTAAATATTTAAAATTGAAAATAAATATAATATTATATTATTAAATATATACTATTACAGCACCTGGTGAAGTTGAATTTGTGTGTACCATGAGCTGTTAAAATGTGACCTGCGGGACGTGGCGACCCCTGCATAGAGGCTTTGGTCGTCTTCGCAGTTGGAGTCCTGGCATGTTGATCTTTCTCGCATGTCTTCCCTTTCTGTCTAATCCCATTTCCTATCTGCCCCATTTTAAAATTAATACCAATACCTAAAGGCCAAATTAATGATAAAAAAAGAATATGATTGTATATTTATGAAGGCAGATATGCAAAAGAAATAGTTTGCATGCATTATCTGCTGAATTGCACATCCAAATAGCTTCACACCTTAAATTAAGCTCTGTTCATTAAGGTAAATATGTTTGCTCTTTTTTTTTTTTTTTTTTTTACATTTAAACCTTCTGGATAACAGGCAATAACTTTTCCCTCCAACTAAATCTTACCAGTCTTAATATCTGAGCTGGAATGAATTTATTATAAAATCTCCACCATTGTCAATTTGATAGCAAAATGGTCTGTATCCACATCTTTCTTTTTAATTTTCTTTTCAAATAATACTATTATCACTTTGAGCCCACTGGGGGAAAAACGTATCTTAATGAGTTGTTTTTTGTTGTTGCTTTTTTTCCATTTTTAATCACTTACAGCATTTGTTTTAGCAGTTAGAGTCATTTGATTGTATTTTTTTTGTTTGTTTGTAAAAAAAAAAAAGAGTTATTGGGATATCTAATATCCTTGCCTTGGACTTTTTTAAATACCTTAAGCAATGTCTGAAAGTTTTACGTCCCCTTGGTAAGTTTTTTTTTTTATCAATGAAGGAAAATCTGCAGTTTTGAAGCCATTTTAATCACTATGAAATTACATAAAAAAATGCAACTTAAATTAACTCTTGACAACAGAGGTTTCCTAATGAAAGTCAATGGTGCAGAAAATGCACAGATTTCTAAGGCAAACAAAATATTCTAAAAGATAAATGACCACCTCCTCAACATTTTGACCAATGTCATCAACATATCCAATTAAGTGGGAGATTTATATCTATCTTGTTCACCACCATAATGTGACGCAGCTAGTGGCTCTGGATGAGACACCAGTCCAGAACATGATACTTTATCATACAGCCTGAAAGGCCATGAACAAAGGGCTTATTTGTGCCAGCCGATTATCTGCATTTTAAATCTGTCCCAAAGACCTCAAGTCTTACTAAACTTTGAATATATTTTACAGATCTCCATTCATTCATAAATCAGTGTTGGGGAGAGGTAAAGAGTGTTAATTTGCAGTACATAAAGAATTACGCCACACTGAATAAATATGAATAAATATGCCAAGCAGCAAATAAGGCAAATTCCTGCATTCCTCCTCTGTACATAAGAGTACATTAAGAGCACAACTTGGCAGCTGCTAGATACAGCTCATTGGACTAAAGGGCAAATTTGGCACAGCGTGAGAAACCTTTCTTATTGAGGAAAATACAGTGCTCTGCCAGCTCGTCATTTGTAATTCAATACAAACAAATCACAGCGGCATACTTTGAGTGAACAAGCATCGGAAAACATGTCACACCATGGCGATCAAAGTCTAGGAGCTCATTACTCTTCATGAGCAGTGACAAGTGGAAAAAAGAAAAGTCCCTGCGTGCTCTTCTCATTTAGATAATAAATTGCTAGGAAGTTTGCTATGAACTCCCTGACCGGATCATAGAGGAAGCTCTCTGTTGGAGTCGACTCTGTGACCGTATTGTGAGCCACTGAGGGTTTCTTGTTTGTAAGCATGAAGACAGTGACCCTAATGGGCTTTATTAGGAAAAGTCAACAGGATGGTCAGGACCTCTAGATGACTCCATTCCAGATATACAATAGACCTCTTTGATAGTCAACCCCAAAGCCCAGTTGACTCTGAGGTCTGGTTTGACAGTTGCCATTTGTCCCAAATACAGTCCCATCAACTGACCAAGCCAATAAAAAGGCAAAAAATGATAAAGAAGCCAGAAGACTTGGAGGAAATAAAGACACAATATCCAGTGTCCCATCTCTTAATTGGGGCTTCCTATTCTCCAGAAAGAGACCACATGCACAAACGATTAACAACAGTCTACAACAAAATAAGGCTTCACTTATTATATACAACACATTTTCTATTTTTAGTTGCATTGGTAAAAGCTTTATTGTAGTTCAGTTTGTGGACATTTCATACATCAGCTGAATGCACAGACTTGTTTGTCTTGTAAATGTAAACTTAAAAAAAAAAAGGTCTTAATGACCGGCAAGATGTTTTCTTTCCAATGAAGTGTTTGTTGCCTCTATTAAATCTATTAAAAATAGATAATAGTCGTGAAGCTCTCCAATGGAAGCCATTTTCGCTGCCTCATTTTCAGTGTTCAGTAAATTACTAAGCCAATCGGGGTGGGCTGTTGTTTGGAGGCCGTTCCTGGTTACTTTGAGACTTCCCAGATGAATCCGAAAAGTGCTCTAAGAAGTTGCGACAGTGCCATAATTTCTTGGTTTGTAAGTAATGTCTCTCGGTGAGTTCAAAGGTTTTACAAATTGCTATGTAATATCGCTTTACAGACTGTTTAGATTACAGTTAATGATTTACCTTCCGATAGACTTTATTTTTATTTTTTTTTGTTTAGGACATAAGGCATGTATTTTTAGATCCTTTAGCCTTCCTGATGTTGTAGAACCGGCTCTGTTTAAATTATTTATCATTAATCCTTGCTTGGCAGTATAATTTGGTTAGCTAAGAGTTTGCATAGAGAGAAAGAAAATGGCTTAATTACATACATTTTTATTAGGATTTAATGGGGTCGGTGTAGGTGATACATATTCCAAGG